TCTCTCACCCCCCACCTTTTGGTCTCTTCCCACCCTTCCACTGTCTCTCAAAAAAAAAAAAAAAAAAAAATCAATGGACAATTAACAAAAAAAGGAGTGGGGGGTGGGGGATGAGTGACCCTTCTCCTTCAAACTCAGTTTCCTGCGCCTCAAATAAAATAAAACATGTATCTTTCTCCTCACATCTACAATAATTCATGATTCTTTGTTTCAGCTGGTAACCTCTATTTTCACTGTGAAGTAAAAGAAAGATGATTAGCTTTTGGAAGTTCATCCATCACAAGAAAGGCTACTCCTTGTCATTTCTGCCTACAACTAAGCCTGCCCATCAGGGTCTGGATCTCACCATTTGTACTGCCTTAGGAAAAGGCACTGAGTTTGGGTTCTACTTTCTCCGTTCTCTTCAGCACTTTCCTTGTCCCATCACTGGTCTGCTATGACCCATGCTTTGGCACATACTATGTCAAGCCTGCTCCCTTCCTTCACAGTCAAGATTCTGCCAAGAGCTGTCAATATTTGCTGTCACCACTTCCTCACTTTCCAATGCTTCCTTAACAAACTATAATCTGGTATCTTGCTCTCATTAATCTACTAAAACTAAGCCCAAGTGACAAATTCTTAGTCACTTTTTACCGTCATTATCTTATGTGAGTTCTGTGACATTTAGTTCTACTCATTATTTTCTTCACTTTCTCCTCTTTTTCTTCCTATTATCTATCTACCTCCGTACTCCAAAACCACCATCTTGCTGGTCACATTTCCTAGAGTTACACAAACTATCAGGATGAGTTCATCTACAATAGCAGTCTTTAAACTGTTGGATTTCAGGACTCCTCTACAAACTCTTTAAAAGCTGTAGATGACCCCAAAGAGCTTTTATTTATGTGGTTTATAACTATCAACATTTACCATTTTAGAATTTAAAACTAAAAAGGTTTTAAACACCAGAATACACAAGTGCACAATTCATAAATTGTCAGTGATGATATTATCACATCATACAGCCTCTGGAAATTTTCACTGTAAATGCAGGAGAAAATGAAAGTTTTAAAAAGCCAAATATGCCTTAGTATTGTTTTTAAAAAGTCTTAGCATAATTATAAAAATTGTCCTTGTGGAACCCCTGAAAGAGTCTCAGGGACACCCCCCACCCCCGGGAATCCTCAGACCACTCGATCGTTGCACATCTATGTAGAAACTCCTCTAAGTCTTTCTGTCTAACTGGATCCTTTTCTTTCCTGAGTTACCACCTAAAGTCTTGTACCTTTAAATAATCCTAGGCTCTTCCCTTTCCTTCTTTACCCTCATTTAGTCACCAAACCCTATTGTTTCTACTTTTAAAATCTAGTGGAATTTGAGAACTTGTTAGAGAAATACAACCCCGCACCCCAGACCCACAGAAATGAGAACCTTTGGTAATTCATGTGCACATTAAACTCTGAGAAGCTGGGCCTGGGTGGTGATAACATCAGTAACCACAGTTAGAGAATCTGAAGGAGAAGACACATCCAAAAATCAAATTTGAGAACACTAAATTAGAACCCCTCCAACTTGAAGTTTTTCCTCTTAATATTAAACCTTGGAGGTTTGAAGTTTTGTAAAGGAATAGTATTCCTGAAGTAAATAATCTTCCCAACTTAGGTTTTACTTCCCTCCATCTCTACTTTGTCTTTTCCTGCCCCTGCTTCAATGACTGTCCATCACTCAGATAAAAGCTCAAATTCCTTACTATGAAATAAAAGGGTTTTCAAACACTCATCCCTACCTATCTTTCACCCTTCTTGCATACTCTCCCTATACCAAAAGTTTGCAAACCAGCTGAATCACCTTTGCAGTATGGTCTTTTTTCTAAGCTCCTCAGGGGATCTCAAGTCCAGCTGGGGTTGAGAATCACTGCCCTATGGCTTGAACAAAACTACTTGCCAAACTTCCATGCAAAAGCAAAAGCATAGCTTAGTCCCTCTGCCTGCCTAACCACTATCATCTCTTCTCTAAAGGAAGACCTCTCTTCTCTTCCCTCCCCTCCTCTCACTTGCAGGCAGGTGGAATTGCAGGTTTCTTGCTCTTTGACCACAAAGCACCTTGTGCTTACATCTATTATAACAGCCCACACTGTTTATAAACTAGTCTGTCCTGCATGACACTGATCTCTGGTGACAGCAGAGATAATACCCTATTCATCTTTATATTCTCTGTGCTTAGCACAGAGGTTAGAAGATAACAGGTAAGTAATAAATGCCTACTGAAAATACAGTAAATTACTGGAGCCCGTCGAACAGACCTAGACTGATGTAAAATAACGCAAAACAAGATCAACACCTTCCTACCTACTAGGCAATTTCATTAACAAAAGGAAAAACCTTTCTGGTCTATAACTATATTTAGATATAAAAGGCAAATTCATATATAAATTCATATATTAACTGAAATGAAAATTTTCCGATGAAGTAGATTCAATGAACCTAACAATAAATATCAGATGCTTTTCAGTTTTAATAGTTAAAGGATAGAAGAAAACAGGAGGGTTCTGGGTATCTGAAGAATACTGGGGAAGAGGATAGAGAGTAGGGGAAGCTCGAATCTTCACAAACACTAAGAGAGACTCAATAGATAACGTCTAATTTACGAAACAAAATAGTAGCAAAATATGCACATTATTTACATTATAAAATGTGGAAATAAATACCAGGAAGAAAAGCTAAAAAATAGAAAGTGGGGTGTAGAAAGGGAGATGGGAAAGAACTGTTTTGTTTTTTAAATAAATAAATAAACAAACCTTTTAGTATTATTTGTTCATAAAAACAAAAACAATTACTTTTTTAAAAAGAAATGATCAGGGAATGGATTACCAAAAGAATAAAATGACATCAGAAGACAATGGAATACTACATAAACTCTACTACTAGGTGTGCTGGGGAAAAAATAAGTATTTCTTCAATTTACTGTTTACTCCCAATAAGTTAACTTAATGGCCAATATACATCTGTTATCTTGAGTTGTATGAAATTTCACCCCAAGGGAATTCATTAAGTAAGGTCTGTAGCATAGAAATAAAACCTGGGAGTAATTTTCCAGACACATAGCTTCTTATAATGGAAAGACCAAAAACATGTGTTTTTTTCCTGCCTTAAATCTTAAGGAAACTGTATAATCTGTAACCATTTCCAAAGTACTGTGCCACCTGACTTAACCATTAATTTCTAAAACTTCCATATATAGACACAGAACAGCAAAAGTCAGAAGATTTTTAAGATTTTCTATTGCTGCCCCTAATGTCAAAATGTCTATACAAATAAAGCTAAGTACATCCAATGGTAAATCAAAATCTATTTCACTGTAAATGCCACTGTGGTCTTAAAAAAACATTTTAAATAAAAAATATAGCCAAAAGTGATCCTTGAAATTCTTTAAATAGAATTCGTATTTTCTTATAGACTGAGTCTTTTGAAGGAATCAAATACTGCATCTATAAAGAACACAAAAACATATGCTGTAGGTGATCTAACTTTTTACTGTTTTGTTATTAAAAAAAAAAAAAAAAATTTAAAAACACCAGATTTGGTGAACAGAAAAGGGAAATATCTCAAGTTATTTTGTTGCTCTTTAAAGCATAAAAGCTTATGAAAGAGAAGGCATGTAAAATTACTAAATAGACCCAAATCTGGAAATGTCAAGAAATATTTCAAAGTCCAGGAAATATAAAGTGAAAACATTCCTGATACAGGTTTTGAAAAAATGTACTTTGTCTAGATCTAAACCTACAATTTTTAAAGGCTCAGTATAACTGTATTAAAAAACAAAAACAAAAACAACTAAACTGTGACAATCTGGTGCTATAGGGGCTACTAACGCTTACCTCAAGGGAACCTACTGCAGATAAAGTCCCGTCACTTGCAGTCCTTTCAGCTGCCTGCCAGTGGTCTCTGCGGAAGGGAAAGCCTGGTGAGTGAGAGCCCCGTGCCACACTCCTTGGGAGTGTCAGGGTGCCTGCACAGACTGCACAGAACTGTCTTCCTAGAGAGTCCTACATGCTTTCCATAACACAGGCTTAAAAAGATGCCACCTTTGATATTCCCTTTCTACTAAACACTAAAACCGAAGGGCTAAGAATTATTGAGTGTTAACAACCTTTGGGTATTATCAAGGTGATGTATCTACACTAACTCAAATAGAAAAAAGACTAAAATGGATCAAGTAGAAATAAGTTAACACTGACAGTGAAAACACACACACAGACACACACACACACAGACACACACACACACACTGAAAAGTAAGTGACAGAACTCTTATAATCTGAGAAGAGACAACATTATAGGCTATATCCACAAAAAGTGAAGTTGCAGCATCAACAAATTATGCTTAAACTCAAAGAAATTCCAGTATACACATTTTTAAAAGATGCCATCAAGTATATCATGCTTAGTGTGAACTATACCATGGATCTCAAATGACTACTTCCAAACTCCAATGTATTTTCTCAGTGGGGTCAGTAAGTGGGTGGGAGGAGAGGAGATTTTTCAGGTATTTTTAAGTAACAAAAGTGAAGACCAACAGCATGAAATTCCACAAGAAATTTCAAAAAGAGAGGAAAAAACAAACAAACCTTATATCTGTATCTCAGAAAGTAAACAATCCCTTACTTCAGAGCCAAACTAAGAGGAAAGTATAACAAGAAATAATAGAAAACTGTGAAACAACGTATTTCAAAAGCCACTTTCATCTCTTAGAATTATGAATGGCTAGTAATGGTCTTCCATTAAGAACACCTATGCCATAAGTTCAGCCCCATAACCAAAGACCCTATACTTTCTTTCTAATGCCAAATACAGTCTTCAGTCTGAATGCTGTGTTTCGTAAGGCAGAATAAAATGCTCCTACAAAAACTTAAAAAGCATTAACATTTAGCATAACAATTAATAAAGAAAAAATATTTAATTTTTTTATGAAGATTCCAGCTTTTATTTTAATAGTATCATATTAAAAATGAAGTTACTTACCTCTGATTCTTTGTCACTTAAAGATCCCAAGCTTCCAAAACTGTGATTAGAGCTTTCATTATTTGTTGAGGCCTGTTAAAAGATTTTTAAAAAGGTAAACATTAGGAGTAATTTTAAATGAAACATATTACATAAATAATCTACATTCATAAATTAAAATCGAGTATGAGTTCTTTAAGCAAGGAAGTCAATGAAGTAAACATAATAAATACCAACTTCTTAACATTATAAATATCTTGGAAAGTTTTATCAAGTCAATCAAATTTTGCTGTATTTTAGGAACAGATGTATTAGTTGAGCTTTTAGAATACCAAATTCAGAAGCAAAGGAAATGAGCTATTGTTAGGATAACAAGACCCCTAAAGCTACTATTCAACAACTAAAATCTAATGCTTCCTTTAATTTAAAGCATATTGTGTTCCTTAGTTATTTTTCTAAAAATCCTCACCCGAGGATATTTTTCCATTTATCTTCAGATAGAGTGGGAGGGAGGGTGGAGGGAGGAAGAGAGAGGGAGAGAGAGAGAAACATCTATATAAGAGAGACACATCAATTGGCTGCCTCCCCCATGACCCCAACCAGGGCTGGGGACAAACTGCAACTGAGGTACATGACCTTGGCTGGAATCAAATCCACGACTCTTTGGTCCTTGGGCCGACACTCTAACTGCTGAGCCAAACCTATCAGGGCTGTGTTCCTTAATTCTTTTCACAGTTTTATCAAATCCTATCATATCCCATTTGCCTCTCTCCATATTAACAAACTGGACAATCTTTCTTTTGGCTTATTGTTTTAATAAAATTTTTATCATCTTCACCATTTTAATTGCTTTGCTCAAGAATTTCTACATTTCCTTTACAATATTTTAAAATTATGACACACAGAAATGAGCTATTATTTTGCAGGATGACATCTGCTATGTTTCCAATATGTTTCTATGATGCTTATTATTTTCTAGATTTGTTTGCATCAACAGTACATTAGATCAATGTCTGGACCGATGCTATGATATGGCATATATGCTAAAGATGATGCACGAATAAACTTCATGTGTAGGCAGGCCAAATGATATCCCTGTTTCCCTTCAATTTGTAAGAGCAGCTGTTAACCTTACTAATAAAAGGTTGCAAGTTGGACTATAATTACCATTAGACTAATTTCCAAACTGATGACTCTGAGCTATTACATACATGTCCAGTACTATGACGGACATGGTAAAGGCTGTTTTTAACACAAACAGCACTCATACTAATTAAGATTTAAGCACTGTTTAGAGGAAGTTATAATCTAATTAGAGCAAGATGATCAAACTTGAAACAAAGACCACCATAAATAGCAATTAGGAAGTGATAAATTATAAAGATTCAGGGACAATGAAAGTACTAGCTTTTTTATCATCCCTAAAACTCCATATAAAAATATAAACCCCAAACCCACACACAAAATTTACATCAAAACTGGGTGACTAAGGCCCTGGCCAGTTTGGCTCAGTGGTTAGAGCGTTGGCCCACGGACCGGAGAGTCCCGGGTTCGGCTCGTGCTGAGGGCATGTACCTCTGTTGCACTTTGTCCCCGGCCCCGGTTGGAGTCGTGTGGGTGGCAACCAGTCGATGTGTCTCTCTCACATCGATGTTTCTCTCTCTCTCTTCCACTCTCCCTTCCATTCTATCTGAAGATAAATGCAAAAAAACTGGGTGACTAGGAATCTTCCCAAAATAGCAGATGAGAACAGATCAACAGTCACAGGACCTCCATGAGAGGAAGCAGAAGGAAATAGGGTGTCTGACAGGTTTGACAACAGAGACTCCCAAAACAGCAAATGCTTTCACCAGTAAGTCAATTCGAGTACAGAAGCTATAACTGGAAGGGTTTCTGCCCTTTCCAATAGTGACTAAGGGCAAGGGGTCCATGCTGAAGTCTGAAGAAACAAGAACAATTTAGCCCCTATGAACTTTTTGAAACTAATCCTTCATGAAGGGTATCACAATAAGGATAAACTACTGGGTATGGAAACAAAATAAGGCACAACAGGTACAATGAAGATAAAAAAAACAAAAGTATATAAAAATAAAAGTGGTGAAGGGAGCAAAGCCTAGAAATCTCAGAAAGCCTAGACATCTCAGAAAGCTAACACCATACTTTTGAAGAGTGCCCAAAAACAACAGCAGAGGGAGCTCTACAAGACAAACCATTCTAAACACACAAAAAGGTAAACAACAGAATATGATGATGTAGGTCATCCCATGAAGTTATTGTAAGAAAAAAAAAAAAAGAGTAAGATACAGAATAATATCTTGATAATAAAAGCATACCAGAAACACACATTTCACAAAATAGGTGAAAACTGTAACCTAGTTTTTCAAAAGGAGCTAAAAGACATTATAAAAGATGTGAAAAAGAACAGCATAAATCAGATTTCAAAAAACTCAGAAATAATGTAACAGAACTCAGGAAAGCATCAGAAATTTAAAAAAAAAAAAAAGGTTTGTAATGAAGATTAAGCCTGAATGAAACCAAAAGAAAATACATACAACAGATAATGCTTTAAAAAAACTAGAAGGTATAAAGAAGAAATACTTTTGAAATAAAAAGAAATGAAGAGATAAAGAGAATGAGAGAAAGCAACAACTATTGAAGCAACAAAGATCCAACATTCAGATAACAGAAGTCTGTAAAGAGCACTACCAGAAGAAAAACAGAAGAAACTTATAGTTCAACAAATCTTTGAAAAAAATTTTTATCTTTATTGTTGAATGTATTACGATGTTCCTCATTTTTCCCCCATTGACCCCCTCCTCCCCACTCCCAATCCCTCCCGCCTTTTCCCACACTGTTGTCTGTGTCCACTGATTATGCATATAAGTTCTTTGGTTTATATCTTCCCACCCCCCAACCCCCTTCCCTTTGAGGTTCATCAGTCTAACAACCAATCTGTACTTCTTAAATCCTTCACCTTTTCACCCATTCCCCTAACTCCCCCTCCCATCTGGCAACCAACAAAATTTCTCTCTATGAGAATGCTTCTGTTCTGCCTGTTCATTTTGTTTGTAGATTCAACTGTTGATAGATATGTACTCATTGCCATTTTGTTTGTTCATATATTTTATCTTTTTCTTCAAAAAGACCATTCATCATTTCATATAATAACGGTTTGGTGGTGGTGAATTCCTTTAACTTTTTCTTGTCTGGGAAAGTCTTTATATGGCCATCAATTCTAAATGACAACTTTGCAGGATAGAGTAATCTTGGTTGTAGATTCTTGCTTTTCATCACTCTGAATATTTCTTGCCACTCCCTTCTGGCCTGCAAAGTTTCTTTTGAGAAATCAGCAGTCTTATGGGAACTCCCTTGTAGGTAACTACTTTCCTCTTGCTGCTTTTAAGATTCTCTGTCTTGAACCTTTTGCATTTTGATGATGATGTGTTTGGGGTGGGCCCCTTGGGGTTCATCTTGTTTGGGACTCTCTGTGCTTCCTGGACTTGTATGTCTCTTTCCTTCACCAAGTTAGAGTCTAAGCTTTCTGCCATTATTGTTTCAAATAGATTTTCGATTTCTTGTTCTCTCTCTTCTCCTTCTGGCACCCCCAAGATGCGAATGTTGGCACGCTTAAAGTTGTCCCAGAGGCTCCATACACTATCCTCGTTTTTTTTGGATTCTTTTTTCTTTTTGCTGTTCTGAATGGGTGTTTTTTGCTTCCTTATATTCCAAATTGATGGTTTGCTTCTTGGCTTTACCTACTCTACTATTGAAATTGTGTAAATTATTCTTTATTTCAGTTAGTTCCTCCTTCATTTCTGACTGTGCCTCCTTCATTTCTGACTGCTCCTTTTTTATGCTCTTGAGGCCCTCACTAAGTTTGCTGAGGTTCTAAGTTCATTGAGCATCCTTATAAGCAGTATTTTGAACTCAGCATCTGTTGGGTTGCTTATCTCCATTTCACTTAGTTCCTTTCCTGGGGTTTTGTTCTGTTCTTTCATTTGGGACCTGTTTCTTTGTCTCCTCATTTTGGCTGCCTCCCTGTGTTTGTTTCTGTGTATTACTTAACGAGAGGTATGGGGCTAGCTGAGACCAGATGCTACTTGTTTGAAAGAATTTAGGAAAACCTGAAGCAGGATCCAAGACAGGCCAATCCTATGGTGAAGCAACTGGCAACAGCTTGGGTGGGCCTGAAAGTTGGGTGGGGCAGGGCCTCAGGGAATCACCAGGGCGGGGCTACCAGTATGAGCCAGGTTGCTGGAGTCCCAGATATGGAGGCTGTCTGCCGCCCCAGGGAAGGGCTCACCAAAGGAACAAAGGCCTCTGACAGCACCTCTGTCCTGGAGAAAGCCCCCTCTCCAGCCCTGGCTCCAGTGCCAGACAGCTTAGTTCTTCCCTGTATGTCTCTGGTGCCCCTCGAGCTGCCTCCCCTCCAAGCTTAGAGGGAGTGAGTACGATAAGTCCGTGCACAGGCCCTTTAAGAGGAGCTGCCGGGGACTCCAGCCACCTCAGCCTCCCTGAGCCTCAGTTCCCGCTGGTTTTTCCAGCCAGAAGTTATGGGGATTCTCTTCTTGGCACTGGAACACTGAGCAGGGCACCTGGTGTGGGACGAGGACCCCTCAGTCCTCAGGGAGGACCTTCCAAGCTGAGGTGTCCTCCTGATTTTTATCCACCACATGTGAGTGTGGGACCAGCCCCTCCGCCTCCGCCCCTCCTACCAGTCTGGATGTGGCTGCTTCTTCAATTCCGTAGTTGTAGGACTTCCATTCAGCTTGATTTCAGGCAGTTTTGGATGATGGTTGTTCTGTAGTTTAGTTGTAACTTTGATGTGGTTGTGGGAGGACGCGATACCGCGTTTACCTACGTCACCATCTTGACCGGAAATCAAAAATTTTTAGAAATTGAAACTACTGCCTGAAAGAACACAGTATGGCCCTGGCCGGTTTGGCTCAGCGGTTAGAGCGTTGGCCTGTGGTCCGGAGAGACCCGGGTTCGGTTCCCGCTAAGGGCGCATACTTTGGTTGCAGTTTGTCCCCAGCCCTGGTTGGGTTGTGTGGGTGGCAACCACTCAATGTGTCACTTTCACGTCGATGTTT